AGATGATGAAAGAAGAATATCAATCGTCTCGTTTAAAGTCATCATTTCGCATGTTCTATGGTCGATACAATGACCTAATCAGCAAATAAAATCACGTCAATTGCTGACTGACGTTTTCCATATGAATTGATAGGCCATTATTTACCCTCCTAATTTTCTACGGATTTTTCCGTGATTTTTTTTTTTCATTTTCAATATTTTTAAATGTAATTTATTTTCAAATTGTTTAAAACAACAAAGAGAATAGTTGATATACAACAAAAACACCAAACAAATCACGTAACAAGAGCAAGAGTATACAGTTTACAATAACCTGGAAGGATAACTCGTATTAACCATATTATAAGGTTATAGTATTAGTTCACGACCAAGTTTCCCTGGGGTGAAATTTTTCAATGTTACACTCAACTACATGCAATATTTATATAGTGTTACCCTATATGATAAGATAACATTTTATGATTATATTATATAACACAAAACATTTTTTATTAAAATAAGATAAAAAAGTTTCCAAAAAAATGTCTTTGCTACATAGGCCTATATGACGTCAAGGAAGGGAGTTTAGTAACGAGGGCTAGAATATTGCCTGTGTACACTTTGTTGTGGAAAAAATGCTCGGGTTTGTACATGTAAGCGATAAATGTAATTTTTCGAAGGTGATTCACGCAATGTAAACAAAGGATTATTTTTTTGTGTGACCTAACAAAAATTATTTTTTTAACTTTTGAATTTTGATATCTTTAAAAAGAAAAAGACTTTGGGGATATAATTTGACAAAAGTTGAAATAATTTATGGACAATTATTTTTCAAGAAGAAAAACGAATATATTTTTTGCGATTAGAATCGGACCAAGCGGCTTTAATATAGCAAAATCGAGTTCTAAGCAACTCGATGCGGAGATCTGACCTGTGTTTCAAAGGAAAACTTTTTTTGAATTTAATCGTTTAACAGTTTTTTAACTTTTAACAATCCGGAAGATTCATATATCCTAGCTAATATGTTCTATTTATTTTTTTATAGTCAGAACATTATTTTTGATTGTTATTTTGAGAACTTTTGTGTTCTGTGTTTTACAGGGTCCTTTTGGGTATATCACCGCGCCTTAAATTTAAGCGTTCTCGTCACCCAAGTTTGTTTTGATAAAGATGGCGCTGAATTTGTTTTTTCCTGTTGTACTGCTTTTATTTTCCTTTACAGTCATAAATACTAGTAGCATTGATGGGTGTAATGTAGGGGAAACAGAATGTAAGTAGGCCTGTACTTTTGTTTCTTTATTAGAGTTCTCAACGCAGTTTAATTCGGAATGGACAGTGAGCCATCCTACTCGATAGATCAAGAACAATCAGTACATGTAATATCATAAGCTATGTAGCTTTGATTACATACATAGCCTTATTAAGGTACTCATAGAAGTTTTATTTAGATATTATATTTGCATATACGAGATATCGTAGATACAGTTTTTGTTCAGTACAAACAGTAAACTGCATCAAGTTTCAAGTGTTTATACAAGACATCACTGTGCAAAAAAAGAATGAGTAAGTTTACGTTGATTACCATAATTACTTTTAATGAAAACATAGGGCTGGACGTTGAATTGAACTTGGGACCCTGCATTACTAGTCAAGTACTCTAAACACAGAGCCATGTAGACCAATATCCATCATCCAGCCTAAAATTCATTCATTCCTCCCTGACCCTCTTTAAACAGCTATGCCCAAAGACACAACACAAGGACAGGACTTTACATTTATTACATACATAATTATATTTTGTCTGAACAGGGTAGCTTGCAGTACCATCTGTACATGCAATATTGAAACGCAGGGGTAATAAGGAAGCATACAAAATATTCAACCTTGACTAAATCAGTGCTACATTATGACGTCATAGTAGGCGAGATGACGGCAATTTTAGAACACAAGTTTTCGTAATATTGATATTTAGAGATGTAATTTAACTCCAGAAAATGAATAGAAACATGTAAACATTAACAAAAATAAAATGTTTTTATTTTGTTATGCTCTATCTGTCATTTTGATTAAAATCTACCACCGATGACGTCATATGTGTACATCAAGTAACTTGGGAATTGATCATGTCATGTAAAGAGAATTTGGCTAAGACGGCATGTACAAAGATACGTAAAATGGAGTTAAAAAGGAAATATCGTGAAAATTATGTGAAATTCATATGAAGTTCAATTAATTAAACAGTGATGCTAATAGATTTTCAACGATTATATTCTCTTTCGAGGACAGTCAGCTACATACGTATCCCGGTCGGCCTTTTCTCTGTCATTCCTGACAAAAATAATGCAACAGAACAACAATAAGCTGGATATTTCAAAACATAAGATTTGTACAGATGGAAAGTTTGCCCTCTGAAAAACTTGGAAAGTGCTGCTAGAATCCTGCGTTAAGCATGGTTTTACGAAAAATCTCAGTTCATACGTATAAAATTCAAAACATAGGGTAAGGTTTCGTGCGAATTTGTGAAATTATTATTTTACTAACAGGACATTGGGATTCTAGCAGCACTTTTTAGGCAAAATAGGTGTTTTTCAGCTATATTACTTACTCAAACAGGTTTTTAAACTCCGGGGCATTGTTGTTCTGTTAGCTTTTTTATTAAGGAAGATTTTGCTATTAATATAAGTCACGTGATGCCGTGGTGGTGGTGCACTTTGTTGCGTCAGACTCTCTTTTATTTTTATACAATAGTTAATAATAGTTTACGTTTATCAGTGGTTTTAGTAATTTGTCAAACTTAATTTTCTTTTAAAAGTCTAAATTTCCTGAGAAATGACTTACATGCTTCCTTAACATACCCGCGAAGATAAAGGTAATTCAGAAATTACATATAATATTCATTAAAACATATGACTGAACTAGGAATATTGAACCCTGCATAATTAGTCAGGCATGCAACCATTGAGCTATCCAGACTGATGTACTCAGTCCAGCCTAAATTCCTAAAATATATGTTCATGTACAATCAAGTGAAAGTTTAAATAAAGCACTTATTCCCAATTAACTATTCCCAGAAAATGGAATAGCAGGTTTTCATCTAAAAAAAAAAACCAAAAAAAAACTTGATATTAGTTTTAAACTTACAACCAAACAGGTTGACCATAATACTTTCACTACAGCAATCATGTTTCTATTTAATACAAACCTTTAAAGATTACAACATGTTTCTTGCTTTTATTTATACAAGTGATAAATAAATAAAGAAATGCATTATTTCCACAAAACTGGAAATTTATCTATTTGTTGACCATATAATGATAAATGTGTTTTAATATAAAGGTATATTTTCCAATTTTAGGTTTGGAATTTAATGTATTAAAAGATCGCACAGTTGACCATGTTTTGTCAAAAGATGAGTATGTTGATGAGCCGTATTACTGGAAGATTTTCTGCTTTAAAGGACTTTCAGAGTCGGTCATTTTCTTGTGGGTGAATCCTGTGGTAGGTTAAGTTGAAGTATTAATAGATATAATTAATATTTAGTATACATGTATCTTTATTATTCTTATCAGATAAAGAGTATATCAATATATTAAACATGAGGCAGTTTCTTAATAAACACCATGCCCTACATGAATAGAAAAAATACATAGAGACTGAGTAAGTAAAGCAAAAAAAAAGCAACATAATTAACATCTCCGAAAATAGAATTATTGCATTAAAATTAATTATGTTTGATATGCTCTGACTCAAGATGCATATGTAGATTACTAGATAAGGTTTTTTTCTTTCTTTTCTTTTTTTTATTTCACTGATACATGTTTTTTGAAAAAAAAAAAAAACACAGAAGTACACATTTATTCTTCTGTGGCTCTCAAGGATGTACATTAATTGCAGCAATTATAAATAAAATTTGATGCAACAAAACTTGTCTCAGAAAAGATAAATTTGTATTCTCCCCCCCCCCAAAAAAAAAAAACCCACAAAAAAAGATGTGCTTGTGAAACACTGATTCCCCAGTATGGCAGCTTATAGCCAAGGTTGAAATTTCTCAAATTCAAGTCAAACTCCAAAGGTCAAGGTCAAACCTACTTCATTGTGTGGGCAAAACAGGTTATATGATATAGATTGAATGTTTTTTATCCAATCAAATAACACGCTTCAATGAAAATTAAATTATTTTTAGCTCACCTGAGCCAAAGGCTCAAGTGAGCTTTTCTGATCAAAATTTGTCCGGTGTTGTAAACTTTTCACATTTTCATCTTCTTCTCAAGAACCACTGAGCCATGCAATTTCAACCAAACTTGCTACAAAGTATCCTTGGGTAAAGGGGATTCAAGTTTGTTCATATGAAGGGCCAAACTTTTTTCCAAGGGGAGATTATTATAAATTAGAGAAAAATTAATGGCATTTTTAAAAAATCTTCTCAAGAACCACTGGTCCAGGAAAGATGAAACTCATGTGAAATCATCCTCAGGTAGTGTAGATTCAAATGTGTTCAAATCATGAACCCCCGGGGAAGGATGGGGCCAAAGTGGCCGCTCAAAGTTCTACATAGGAAATTGTAGGAAAAATCTTTAAAAATCTTCTTCTCAAGAACTACTGGGCCAGGAAAGATGAAACTCATATGGAATCATCCTCAGGTAGTGTAGATTGAAGTTTGTTCAAATCATGACCCCGGGGGTTAGGGTGGGGCCAAAGTGGCCACTCAAATTTCTACATAGGAATATGTAGGAAAAATCTTTAAAAGTCTTCTTCTCAAGAACCACTGGGCCAGGAAAGTTGAAACTCATGTGGAATCATCCTCAGGTAGTGTAGATTGAAGTTTGTTCAAATCATGACTCCGGGGGGTAGGGTGGGGCCAAAATAGCCGTTCAAAGTTTTACATAGGAATATATAGGAAAAATCTTTAAAAGTCTTTTTCTCAAGAAACTTTGAGACAGGAAAGATGAAACTCATGTGAAATTATCCTCAGGTAGTGTAGATTCAAATTTGTTGAAATCATGACCTCCGGGGCTAGGGTGGGGCCAAAATGGCCAACCAAAGTTTTACATAGGAATATATAGGGAAACCTTTTAAAATCTTCTTTTCAAGTACTTCAAAGCCATGATTAGTGATATTTATATGGAATCATCCTCAGGTAGTGTAGATTCTAGTTTGTTTAAATCATGACCCCCTGGGGGGTTTCAATTCAAGCCCCCCTCCCCCCCCCCCCAACCTCAGTAAACTTTCAGTTCTGATATGTGCTTTTTCCTAGCCAATTGCTCAGGTGAGCGCTGTGGCCCCTGGGCCTCTTGTTTGATAATTTAAGATATATTTCAAATGTATTTCAGATGAAGCTTAATTTTAGCCATGTACCGAGCCACTTTAAGACAGTCCGAGGAAAAACGGTACAGGAAGTCAATAACCAGAGGGATTCCTTCAGTCCAGTGTACAGTGTCCTCCAAAAGTTGAGACTGGTTGTTCAGAGAGAGGTGGAAGAAGTACCATTTATTGCCTTTAACCAGAGCTGTATTGGTGTGCAGTCGGACACACCATTCACCGCCAAATTTTTAATCAAAAGTAAATTTTTAGCTTTGTTTCTTTCAATTTTTGAAATTTAAAGTAAAATCTAGCTTTTGTGGAATGGAAATAATGTTTTGTTGTTTATACAATGTTAAGGAAAATGAAAAGGGGGTGTCATTTTAGTATAACACTATGTCCTTGATTGAATTTATGACCTTTAGCATGTTTAGGTAAACACAAGATTATAATAATTTTTTTAAAAAATGTATTATTTGCCTTGTTTTAACATTTTCAGATTTGGAACCCTGGCTTTTAGCCTCTCTAGGATTTGGAATTATTCTCTTCTTATCAGCAGGAAGTTGGAGTCAGTAAGTGAAATCACGAGTCAAGAGACTAGTGAGGTTTTTTAGCTTACATGTACATGAGACATAGGTCTAGGTCATCTTTTCTGATCAAAGAACGTTCTCTATCTGTCTGTCTTTCATCAATGTGTCCCCTTGTAAACTTCAACCATTTTCATCATTTTCCTTAGAATCACTGGCTGATCTTGCCACAGACATTTTTTTTGTTTTTGAATTCAAATTTGTTTGAATAAGTGGAAGATCCTCACTTTCTTTTAAGAGGAGATTATTAAGAAAATAGCATAAAATTACAGGTGACATAAAATTTTCCAAAGCTCCGCTCAGTAACCACATATAATACAAATTATAAAACTTGTGAAAACTTTCTGCCTGATTGTTGATCAGTTTTTTTTTTTATCTTAAATCATGTGATACATCTGTTTGCTTATTAGCTCACCTGAGCTGAATGCTCAAGTGAGCTTTTCTGATCAAAATTTGTCCGTTGTCTCTTGTCGTTGTCGTCGTAAACTTTTCACATTTTCATCTTCTTCTCAAGAACCACTGGGCCAATATCAACCAAACTTGGCACAAAGTATCCTGAGGTAAAGGGAATTCAAGTTTATTCAAATGAAGGGCCAAGCCCTTTTCCAAGGGGAGATAATTATGAATTAGTGCAAAATAAATGACATTTTTCAAAAATCTTCTTCTCAAGAACCACTGGGCCAGGAAAATGAAACTCATGTGGAAGCATTCTCAGGTAGTGTAGATTCAAATTTGTTCAAATCTTGACCCCCGGGAGTAGGGTGGGGCCACAATGGCCGTTCAAAGTTTTACATAGAAGTATATAGGGAAAATCTTTAAAAATCTTCTTCTCAAGAACCACTAGGTCAGGAAAGATGAAACTCATGTGAAATCATCCTCAGGTAGTGTAGATTCATGTTTATTCAATCATAACCCCCGGGGGTAGGGCAGGGCGGCTGGGCCACAATGGCCGTTCAAAGTTTTACATTGGAGTATATATGGAAAATCTTTAAAAATCTTCTTCTCAAGAACCACTGGGCTAGGAAAGATGAAACTCACGTGAAATCATCCTCAGGTAGTGTAGATTCAAGTTTGTTCAAATCATGACCCCCAGGGGTAGGGTGGGGCCACAATGGCTCATCAAAGTTTTACATAGGAGTATTTAGGGAAAATCTTTAAAAATCTTCTTCTCAAGAACCACTAGGTCAGGAAAGATGAAACTCATGTGAAATCATCCTCAGGTAGTGTAGATTCACGTTTATCCAATCATAACTCCCGGGGAACTTTGAACGGCCACAATGGCTATTCAAAGTTTTACATTGGAGTATATAGGGAAAATCTTTAAAAATCTTCTTCTCAAGAACCACTTGGCCTGGAAAGATGAAACTCATGTGAAATCATCCTCAGGTAGTGTAGATTCAAGTTTGTTCAAATCATGACCCCCAGGGGTAGGGAAGGGGAACAGAATGGCTCATCAAAGTTTTACATAGGAATATATATAGGGAAAATCTTTAAAAATCTTCTTCTCAAGTACTTCAAAGCCATGATTAATGACATTTATATGGAATCATCCTCAGGTAGTGTAGATTCTAGTTTGTTCACATCATAACCCCCAGGGATAGGGTGGACCACAATGGGGGAAATAGCAAAGTCATGATTAGTAATACTGGTATTTATAATTTTATATGGAAGCATTTTTGGGTAGTGTAGAAATAAATTTGTTCAAATCATAACCCCCAAGGGTAAGGTGGGGCCACAATGGTGGATCAAAGTTTTACATAGAAAAATAAAGGGGAAAAATCCCCAAAACAGAAAAGCTATGTTCAGTCATATTGACATTTAAGCATCCTCATGTTTTGAAGATTTAAATTTATTCAAATCATGGCCCTTTGGGGTAGGGAGGGAAACAATGGGGAATCAAATTCATATTATTATAAAGTTATATATAGGTCTGGAAGAAAATGTAAAAAAAATCTCTTTATCAAGAACAGCAAAGTTATATGCTGTATTAATATGAAAGCAACCTCAAGTAGTATTAAAATTCAAGCCCCCTCCCTCTCCCTTCTGATTTGTGCTTTTTCCTAGCCCATTTTTTAGCTCACCTGAGCTGAAAGCTCAAGTGAGCTTTTCTGATCACCCGGTGTCCGTCGTCCGTCCGTCCGTCCGTCCGTCGAGCTGTCCGTCCGTCCGTCCGTCTGTAAACTTTTCACATTTTCAACTTCTTCTCAAGAACCACTGGGCCAATTTTAACCAAACTTGGTACAAAGCATCCTTGGGTGAAGGGGAATGTAAATTGTTAAAATCAAGGGCCAAGACCCCTTCCAAGGGGAGATAATCAAGAAAATACGAAAATAGGGTGGGGTCATTAAAAAATCTTCTTCTCAAGAACCACTGAGCCAGAAAAGCTGAAATTTATGTGGAAGCATCCTCGGGTAGTGTAGATATTAAATTGTTAAAATCATGACCCCCGGGGGTAGGGCGGGGCCACAATAGGGAATCCAAGTTTTACATAGAGATTTATTGAACATATCTTTTAAAATCTTCTTTTCAAGAACCACTAGGCCAGGAAAGCTGAAACTTATGTGGAAGCATCCTTGAGTAGTGTAGATATTAAATTGTTAAAATCATGACCCTCGGGCGTAGGGCGGGGCCACAATGGGGAATCCAAGTTTTACATAGAAATATATATAGAACAAATCTTTTAAAAAGATCTGCATCACCCAAGTTACTCAGGTGAGCGATGTGGCCCATGGGCCTCTTGTTTCAGGTGAGCGATGTGGCCCCTGAGCCTCTTGTATTTTTAACTTTCAGCAATGTGAAGCTCCATTATGGTTTTGGTGTAGGGGTAGGAGTGATGGCATCCCTCCTGGTTATAGCTTTTGTGATGAGCAGGATGTTCCCTCAGGTACTACACATACACACACTAGAAATTCATAATTCATTCGGCATGAAGCTGTGTTTTTTTCTGCAATTTATGTGTAGAACCAAATTTTTGGATATAAATTCAATTGTTTGCAAATTCTGAATGTAGCTTTATACAATGTTCACACCATTGTATGATAATGTACCGGTAAGTAAATTTCAATTGATATACAGTGAACCTTCAGATATCCGGACCCCAGATATCCGGATATTTCAGTATCTGGACACTTTATCATCGGGACGGAATTTTCAAATATTATATTGTTTTGTTTAACTGGTGATTCAGGTATCCGGACGCTTCACATATCTGGACAAATTGACTAGGAACCAAAGCGTCCGGATAATTGAGGCTCCACTGTACATGTATTTGGATTAAGTTCCATAAATTTGCTTATAACTGATACAGTGAACTGTATTTTTAAAGGTGCACTATCTATATATCATATATACATGTACCATAATAAGCTTAAATAAAAGTGGGTTTGAAATGCTGGTATTTAAAAAATGAGAGAATAGTACTAACAAAGACATGCATGATAGAATCCATATAAAATAACTTAAACGTTAAAGGAAGAAGAAATTGATGCATGATATTAACTGAAAAATACTCAAATTTCTTAAATTCAAAAGAGCTTTAGATGGTTTTAGAATTAAATGATAAATAAAGTAAAGGAAGTAATAGCATAAAATGTCTTTATTAGCTTACCTGAGCCGAAGGCTCAAGTGAGCTTTTCTGAAATTTGTCTGTCGTTGTCGTTGTTGTCCTCATCGTTGTTGTAAACTTTTCATATTTTCATCTTCTTCTCAAAAACCACTGGGCCAATTTCAACCAAACTTGCTACAAAGTATCCTTGGGTAAAGGGGATTCAATTTTGTTCAAATGAAGGGCCACGCCCTTTTCCAAGGGGAAATAATTATGAATTAGAATAAAATTAGTGGCATTTTTAAAAAAGGGGTGGGGCCAAAATGGCTGATCAAAGTTTTACATACGAATATCGGTATATAGGAAGAATCTTTAAACATCTTCTTCTCAAGAACCATTGAGACAGGAAAGATGAAACTCATCTGAATCATCCTCAGGTAGTGTAGATTCAATTTTTTTCAAAGCATGATCCCCAGAGCTAGGGTGAGGCCAAAATGGCCTTCCAAATTTTTTAATTTACTTAGGAATAGATAGGGAAACCTTTTAAAATCTTCTTTTCAAGTACTTCAAAGCCATGATTAGTGATATTTATATGGAATCATCCTCAGGTAGTGTACATGTAGATTCTAGTTTGTTCCTCTTATAAGGTTAAAATTCAAGCCCCCCCCCCCCCCCAACCTCAGTAAACTTTCATTTCTGATCTGATCTGTGCTTTTTCTTAACCGTTGTGCTCAGGTGAGCGCTGTGGCCTCTGGGCCTCTTGTTTTTATTTACTAACAGTAATATTTAAACAGATTTTTAAAATAAACGGAAAATGCTGTTGTTATAAAACAATTTAATGCAAATGCCATAAATGTGTAGGATAGCTTTATCAAAGCAAGGAGACCTTTTTTCTCATTTACTGGCATCAAAAGGAACTTAAACAACTCATTTCAAATTAATGTGCAAGAATTTCCATAATATCGCAAAATTTCCATAAACTCGGAAGATTTAGATTTATTTAAGGTTATGTCATTGGGGATAAAATTGGACCTGGGTAAGAGGTTCAAACTTTTATGCAAGATTATGCTGTAAATATGCTTACTGTACATTCCTTAGTCGTTATCTTATTTAAGAGTCTTTCACACAGTTTTCTATCTACTAATTTAAGTACAATACATGTAATTCGTGACGAAACAATTGTACATGTACATAAATTGAAGTACGGTATTCAAAATTTAGCGTAGTCTGCAAAAATTCAGTGGTTGGCATACATGTACATGATGTAATCATGAATTAGTGTGATGCATGTCAATACCATATATTAATTTTATCATTGAGTTATGGAATTCATGAATCACGCATTAAGTGTTACCTGCAGCAAAGCTGCTTAAATATGATGCCCAGCAGAACACTTTTTTAAGAACATATAAAGTAGATGCTTAATTATCTTCAAATCCTTGATTTTACAATTTATTGATGTCAAAGAATTGATCTCTCGCCAGAGGATGTGCTCCACAAGCTTTACTTACACCTCTTTTATCATCTAAAAGTTGATTTGATTGTCACATAATTAATTGGTAGTTTCAGCACCAAAAAAAGAAAGTTCTGTCGATTAATATTTTTAGTTTCTTTTTTAAAAATCAGCAAGTTGGCAAGAATATGTTATTTCAAAAGAAATAAATTGAAACTATCCTCATTTATAAATAACCTTTTACAAGTATCCTTATCTAATATAAACTCTTTTCTGCAAGATTTTTTTATCATTATTTTAGAGCCTTAGGAAACTTGGTTATGTACTGATGGCAATAGGATGTTCTACCTACATGTACTTATGGACGTACATTGTGCAACATTTCTACGAGACCTCCTCCAGTTTGTTTGGCATGTATTGGCAATGGATTGTGGGATACGTCCTAGTCTCGGCCCTCGTCAGTTTCGCCCTCTGTTATCGCTACGGTCCAGTGACTGAGCCTAGGACACTGAATCTGATCAAGTGGTGTTTACAGTTGATTTCATTGGTGTTCATCTACAATGGTACACAGATTCGAGAGGCATCGGTAGCCATTATTGTAACATTGATTACTCTCTATAACCTTCCTGCTGGATTATTTGACAACAAGTTTACTAGATATATTAGGTAGGTACCTGGTGCTTACTCCTTTATGACATAGTTATCCCCCTTGCAATGAAGTTGGAGGGAATATAGTAATGCAGTGGTGTGGTTGTTTGTTTGTGTGTGTGTGTGGAGGAGTGAGTTAGTGCTGTGCAAAACAGAAGTGAGGTAATTTGTAATGGGATTGATGTGAAATGCTGCTTCAATTTATGGTTTTATCACAGACATTGTTTTTAAATTGTAAAGCTTAAAGTTATATTCACTTAAAAAAAAAATAGTTTAAAAACGTACAGGAATTACACATGTACATAATAGTTAATTTGCTTTTGATATTAGCCAACTCTTCACTGTAATACATGTATGTCTTCTTCTCCATAATAATCTTTTTTTGCATTAGGAGGGGGTTAACGACTAAGTAAAGAAAAATGACTATTGTTTTGGATTGGAAAAATAATATTATAAGTGAAACTTTCAATCATATCAACAATTTATTGTGAAAAGAAGTAATTAAAATTAGTTGTAAAACTTGGCTTAATTTAACAAATTGGACCATGTGGACATTGGGTTTATGCATGTAAATTCATATCATTGAAAATAATTCAATATAAATTACAAAAATATACTTTTGTTTCCCAACCCATATCTCTTTCACTTTTAATCATTTTAAGGTATAACGTACACACTATTTCAACTCTAACCAGGTAAAATTAGTAACCATGCTCAGCAATTTACGTCATGTTTCCCTACTTACGGTTTTAAAGATATAGATTTTAATGATTAAAATCTTAAATTAATTAACTTTTTCTCTAAAAAAAACAATGTCTCTCCTTGTTTTATCCATCTTACATTATTTCAAAAAAATTTGTATCCCCTTACTGTTCCATTGGTCACCTGTGTGCATTCAAGTGATACATGATTTCCTAAATATACTTAGTTTGGTATGTCTTAAAATTTCATTTTTGCCGCTTTTGAATTTCTTTTTGCTGCTTCTGAAAAAAAAAAATGCAAATGGCACATCACAGCTTGTGCACTGCAAAAAATAAATCATAAAAACTAGCATTTCTCTTGAATACATGGATAGGTATGTTGCAGTGTTATGTTCCTGCATTCATACATGACACATGAGCTTGAATTTAAGCATTATTTAATTTTGCTTGATATTTCTTTCTAAAAATGCCCTCATGCTACATGTGCTATGAATCATAAATTAATCTATTGTCCAGTTATAACTTTAATTTCTTATAAACTGATACATGTTTCAGTTTAATTATTTTATCTACCAGTATTTCATGCATATTGTATTAATTTCATTAAAAAACTATAGAATATTAGCTTTTGAGATTCTTTGTGAAGTTTAAGGACTAAAGTTTCACTACTGTTGATTTTACAGGTACAGACTTTTCAAACCCAAGATCAAGCTTCTGACTGAACAAGAGTACCAGCAGCAGGGCTTTGAGGAGACAAAGAAAGCCCTTGAGGAACTGAGGAGTTTCTGTCAGAGTCCTGATT